AAATGGTAACACCAAATGGTAAATGGTAACACTAAATGGTAAATGGTAATACTAAATGGTAAATGGTAATACTAAATGGTAAATGGTAACACCAAATGGTAAATTAAAAGTTAGTCCACTGTTCTTTATTTTTACTTTTTACAATTCAAGCAGTGCCACTGCTCAACAAGTGAACAGAAACAATTGAAAAATTGCAGGTTGAAAGTTAAACACGATGTTGAAATTAAGGAAAGTCTATTAAAGTCACCAACAAATTAAAGTTTCAAAATGGCCTTGGTGCCCTTTTAGTTGGCCTTGGTGCCCTATGGTTTTTGTGAGCCTTCAAGGCCAAGCTTAAAGTTGAAGCCTGCAAGTGGATCAACTAAAATGTCAGATTGCTAACTGATGGAAAGGCAAAGGTTTCAAAAATGTTGTCCAGTCTTATTCAAATCCTCAATACTGTGGGTCCCAAATGAAGTTCATTATCAGTAAGAAACTGGAAAGAATTGTAATGATAATTTTCGGAATTAGTCAGCTAATTGACTCTACTAAATAAACACTGATCATGACATGGATCCTTCAATAGAACAATACCACAGAGGTCAGGCAAGAGGTCAAAGAATATGATTCATGGGACAAAGAGACAACCTCCTTCCCTTCCCTAATGCTATCTCTACTAAGCCCACCTCTTCCCCGTCTTCATCCAGTAATGTCCAGTTGAATGGTCCTGGCTTCTCTGATGGAGTAGGGGTCAAGGATTTCTTCATCTTAGTCAAATATTCCTGTCTGTACCTAAACATAGACCCAACAACAAGAATCACTGTCTGATAAGATCCTGCAATAACAGTTATGATGCCACCATCTTAGCCTGGTACCCTGAAGTCATCACAAAAGGTACAGTTGCATTATATTTTGTTAAATTCATCATTTAGAGCCTCTCACCATTTAGAGCCTCCCATCTGATCACTGTTATACATCTCTGATTGCAATAGTCTGGTAATTTCTTGTATAAGAAAATTGTTTGCATTTAAATTCTGGTCAGTCCCCTTTCTTCCCATTTATTGCAGTCTTGAAATTCTCAGAAAGAAGGAATGATCCCTACTTGACCGGTCTCATGAAGAATGCAAGCATATTCAGGAAGTGGTCCAAGAGTGGGTTGCCTAACGAATAGGGCCACCTCCCATCAACAGCGCCCTCTTGTGAAGAATGAGTAGGCATGACAATCTGGAGATAGCACGCTGCCCATTGGTCAACACCAGCTGGGCAGCGAAGGATGTGGCCCAGCACAAACAGGTGATCATCACGAGTGGCTAGACGGAGTAATGTGGCAATCTAGAGAAGGAACAGACAGGTGACTACTCACTTCATGGGCTGACAAACAGATCCAAGACAAATTTATACAAAAAATTCACGAAACGGGTGATTTTTTGTCCTCATCAACTTTCAATACACTTCTTTTTCTTTTCATCTGATGCAAAAAAGAATTCCATTAAAAATTATCCGTGGTACAATGACTAGACATGTTTTGATACGTGCACACAACAAACTAACCAATCTTGAGCATGAAGTGTAAGCATGATACATTAGTTTGTGATGTGTACCTAACAAGATAAGTCACTTCATGGAACAACTGGCAAAAAGTACTTTTCACATTCACCTGCTCTCAGAGAGAAATTGAACTTTCTTGTTAATCTGGCAAATACAAATTCTAAAGGATCTGAGACAGAGCTAAAACACTCGATTCCTAACAATATTTATTCACAATCCTTTGGTCGTATGGATCTACAAGTATACGTGATGAATTTTTACACTTACCATCCTACTCAGCCAACCTCGGGATGTTTGGAGGAACTCCTCGTCATTAACTGGGCGACGCTGGAAGGCAAACAACACTGAGATACACTGCTTGAGCAGTTTTATCTGATCATGTCTTGCTGGATTATCACAACATAAATCCGCTGAATCCACAAGAAGAGAAAAGACAAACAAACAAATCAATTATATGTACTTCCATATGTTACATTTTATATCTTTTTCTATGATTTAATCTAACTTTTCTGTCTTTAAATACACAGAGATAATGCAGTCCAATTATCAGGAATGTTGCAATGCCACATTTTTCAGGGTACTGTATCTCTTGCAATACTAGAATCACAACAAGCCATGTATCAATTAGTTATGCTACATATAGCTTTGATCACAATGAGTGTATTTGTTCAAAAATCATCTATACTGTGCGATGGTGTCAGATTTTTGAAAAGTAGAGACATGTAATCTACAAATTTGGGAGTGCTTGTATCAGTACCAACCTTTCCTATAAGAATAAGTATTAACCCTCCTTTGGTTTTACAGCACAAATGTGCACAAATGCCCACAGTCACTTGTGAGCATGTAGTTTCTATATGGAACTCCAACATACACAGGTTCAGTGTGTACACAGTAGGTTGTCAGCACAAAATGACCCAGGGTTTTT